CTATAATAGTTTACTCTAACAACAAGTTACATATCTGATACACAAACACCGATAAGGAAGCGTTACCATAAATAATCCTACTTTTACAGTTATATAATAGTTTACTCTAACAACAAGTTACATATCTGATACACAAACACCGATAAGGAAGCGTTACCATAAATAATCCTACTTTTACAGTTCTATAATAGTTTACTCTAACAACAAGTTACATATCTGATACACAAACACCGAGAGGATTCAACTTATTATGGAACGGGTGTGGTATAATGGTTAGCATGCCTAGACTATGAATGCGAGGATTCATGGTTCACGAACCATTGCCGCAAAAAAACGCGCCCCACACTTTGGAGCTATCGGTGTCCTGTAAGAATGAGAATCAAATTCCACTATTCGGGCAGATAAGAGTAGCCACAGAGTTGGTGGTATATGCTGTTGACTAATTGGTTTCTATCTAGTCTATTGGCATGCGCAGATAGCCCTTGTGAAGCTTTACGCGAAAATGGTCGTAAACGAATTTTTTTACAGGACTATATCTTATTCCAAGGAGAGTTTACGGCAATCGTGACTTACAACAGGGTTAGATAAAGGATTGAGAAAAATTATTTTGTAATACAAAACCAGAAGATTTTATCCCACCAGTAATTGAGCTATAAGTTAGTTGGGTCAGAATCTTGGCTGTGACCTAGTTGGGTAGTTTTTGGGTTAGAAACTTGGCTGTGACCTAGTTGGGTAGTTTTAGGTTAGAAACTTAGCTGTGACCTAGTTAGATAATAGTTAGGTCAGAAACTACACTGTAAACTAGTTGGGTAATAGTTAGGCCAGAAACTTAACTGTGAACTAGTTGGGTAATAGTTAGGCCAGAAACTTAACTGTGAACTAGTTGGGTAATAGTTAGGCCAGAAACTTAATTGTGAGAATGTTCATTGAAGGAAGTCTTTTAGGAGATCACATGGGTCCTAATTCTTTTTAAGGTAATAATAATCGTAATTAATAGTTAATATTAAACATTTAAGGTGGAAAATCGATGATAAGCGAAAAGTGACCTCGGGACCGGGACATGATCCAGAACCCCTGCCAACTATGGCCAGCCATGGATAACAATTAAAATAGTTTGTGACTGAAGGTAAAAAGTATTCATAGTCCAGGCATGCTAACCATTATACCAAACCCGTTCCATAATAAGTTGAATCCTCGTATTCATAGTCTAGGCATGCTAACCATTATACCACACCCGTTCCACAATAAGTGCACATTAGTGAGACTCGTACTTTATTTTATATTTTAATTCCAAGTCATATCTAGTTTAAAAGTAGTGCTGGGGCCTTGCAAGCTGACTAAACAGGAACAAATGATCTTACAGCCTAGATATAAAAGGTACTAACTTTTATAATCCATTGCATCTAGAGAGGATCGTCAATAGAGAACGTCCTACGAAGAATGTGGAAAAACGCTGGTAGTAGTTACCATAGCATCACAAATCTCACGCTCTGCTAAATATATATTCTAGCAGCTGATTTGTCACCATCTTCGAAGAAGGTTCACCATGCAGGGAAGACATGTCTTGCCCATCAGATTTGGACACTGCTTTTCCTGACAATAATCTCTTCAGTACTAAAGGGGAAAAAAGGTTTAATGAAGTCATGAGTTATGAAGCATTGAATATTATCTAGAACAGAAATAAAACATACGGATTATTTTCACCATAATAAAATATCCGGGATGTTTACACCTTGTAAAACACCTTGAATATTTACACCATAAAAACACATCTGCGCTATTTTCACCATAATAAAATATCCGGGCTGTTTACACTTTGTAAAACACCTTGAATATTTACACCATAAAAACACATCTGCGCTATTTTCACCATAATAAAATATTCGGGCTGTTTACACCACAGTAAAACACCTTGACTATTTACACCATAAAAACACATCTGCGCTATTTTCACCATAATAAAATTTACAAAATTATTGGTAAAAAAAAGTCTTAAAGTTAGTATTATCTGAAATAAAAATAACACAAAATTAGCGTGAAAATAAATGAAAATTGACACAAAAAATCATTTTTGTTCAGGAAACTCAAGATTAAAACAGACAAAGACGATAACAGATAGTGTTAGACATTTTTATAACATATATTACTATCATAGATAATCATCTTTTAGTTTGTTTTGAAGTTAAGCACAAAGCTACACAATGGGCTATCTGTACTCTGCCCACCACGGGTATCGAAACCCGGTTTCTAGCGTTCGAAGTCCGCAGATATACCGCTGTGCCACTGGGGGGTCTTTTACTAAATGTCAACAATTATATAGAATAGTAAATCTGGACTAATGTTCGAAAAACTAAACGACTTTTCTCTCTATTTTGCTTTTTGTCACACTTGCATACTAGCGAGAGGAATTTCCCACAGGATCATGTTAATGTAGAGAAATATTTTAGTAATGATAATAGCTTTTTTTGACTTACAGAGATGGAAACTGAAGGATAACCCTAGTAATTAGACCTATTAGGCTTAGCTGCTCTTACAGGAAGTTAAGTACACAATCTAAGCGTGCCTTTTGTTTTTTTTTGTTTTCTATCGAAGCAAACGGAAAAACTTAAATTGTGAAGCGTAAACAGGCTTCAGCGAGTGAAATAATATCGGGGATTTTAACACTCCCACACAAACAACTTTTGCAGTTGGCCAGATTCTGTGTAAGCCAATTTTCCTCTCTCTCCTCTGTTAGATAGGTCAACATATTATACATATACATTAATAGCAACCATTTGACAATTCACATTTCACTTTCTGTGGATTTTATATTTCATGCAATAATTAGTTTTATTCTTCCTTTCAACTCTTACAATTATACAAAATTAAAGAACTGGTTTCGAAGCTTTCACTACGTTTCAGCTACGTTCACAAAGTTTTTGTGGTAACGTGTGACATATTTTGTCCTAGTACACCATTAAGACGGTGTATTTACAAGTTTGTTCGGCTTCTATATAGCATTCTCAAATAGTTTGTTTTCCACTGTCATGTGCAGCTGTGTAATAGCAACCACACGAACCTAACAACTTTCGTAAAGAATTCAAGTTTGTTCGGCTTCTATATAGCAGTCTCAAATAGTTTGTTTTCCACTGTCATGTGCAGCTGTGTAATAGCAACCACACGAACCTAACAACTTTCGTAAAGAATTCAAGTTTGTTCGGCTTCTATATAGCAGTCTCAAATAGTTTGTTTTCCACTGTCATGTGCAGCTGTGTAATAGCAACCACACGAACCTAACAACTTTCGTAAAGAATTCAAGTTTGTTGCTCCCAGTACTTCTTAGTGACTCCAAAAAAATAGAGTCAACACGCAAGGTTGTAGAGTTCCACTGCAAAACCTAAAAATATTTACTTGTTTTGGATATTTGAGCAAAAGTTTTTGTCCATAATTTTAAATTGATAAACAAGAGGGAAGTTAATCAACAGCACCCACCGCCAACTCTGAGGTTACTCTAATCGTGTAGTGGTATTTGACATGTTCTTACATGAATGTTAAAAAAAACAAAAAACTTTTATGCACCTAACTGAAGTTGACTCCTGTCATGGCTGCCCCATCATGGATTCTTCCGGGCAAATGCCCTAAATACCCCAAAGGGAGAGTGAGGTTCACTAAAGGTCAACTTCACGTTGTGTCTAAATAGGAAAAACAAAAAATTACAGTTCAGGATGTTGTTTTTTGTCTACATTTTAGTCTTGGTTGAATGATTTTTTTTTTATTGTTGGTAATAAAAATTTGACCCATAACGAAAAGTTTAACACAATAAGTTATACATAGTTTAAATAAATGGAGTGATTACTTAATCTTCAACTTTTTGACTGTATCTTCTTACGCTTGACTGAGAAAATGGGTTAAAAAAACGAAGGCAATGAATAGCCTTCCTTTAAATAAAACCTGCTTTTATTACTTTATTGTTTTACTGAATTTCGCGCAAAGCCATTCGAGGGCTAACTGCACTAACCGTCCCTAATTTAAAAATAATAGTCTAGAAAGAAGGTAGCTATTCAATACCACCCACCGTCAACTCTTGGATTACTTGTTTCCAAACGAAATATGGGATTGACCATCACAGTTGAAAATTGTTTGTTTGTTTGAAGTTAAGCACAAAGCTACACAATGGGCTATCTGTGCTCTGCCCACCACGGGTATCGAAAACCGGTTTCTAGCGTTCTAAGTCCGCAGACATACCGCTGTGCCACTGGGGGGGGGGGCAGCTTTTTATAAATGTCAACAATTATATAGAATAGTGAATCTGGACTAATGTTCAAAAAACTAAACGACTTTTCTCTCTATTTTGCTTTTTGTCAAACTTGCATACTAGCGAGAGGAATTTCCCACAGGGTCATGTTAATGTAGAGAAATATTTTAGTAATGATAATAGCTAATGATAATTTTTTATATTTTCTTGTTTGGCTGATATTGTGATGTTTGTTTAGTATTGAAACTTGCAGACCAAAATAGACTTTTAATGAAAACAAATTTTTTGGTGTACACTTATATTTGCATTAATTCACTAAGTAAAGTCATGAACGTTCCGAGAAATATTCAAAACAGATAAAGCTTCCAAAGTATTCCTTTTGTATGCTCTCTTTCACTTTTCTTTGAAATGAGTTTGAATTATTATATGTTGTAACAATAGGGCGTTGTAACAAATTTTTATTTAAAAAAAAGTTTAATACGTTTAATTGGACTATGTTTATTGCTTTCACATTAATATTTAGATTTTTTTAATTAAATTGTATGAATATTTGAATCTGATTCAACCAACGGACTATACCTCGTTTGTGACCATAAAAAATTAGCATAATTTTTCAAGCATCGAGTGACGTAACCATAACACGTTTTATGACTCAGAGAAGCAGGACAAACCTTCACTGACTCAGGAAGGCGTGTTTGTAACATTAATCAGACCAAATTTTACCTAATCCTAAACAGCTGTGATATTTATATTCTGAAGTCCTTATAAAAACAACAACTTTTCACCCTTTTCGTTAAGGTATCTAGTTCTTTCTGAACGTCTTATTATAATGTTTGATAACATAAAGAAACTGAGCTAATATTGTGTTGGGTCA